CACCGTGTACATTTGTGCAACCCATTTAAATCAATCAAACGTCACATCAGTCAGTCACTCTGAAATGTCTTTGGACGCGATTACGTTTCTCCAAAGAAACACATCGAGTCGCTCTCGCACAGACCAGCTGTTATTCCAAAAAAGTTTGCAGTGCAAAAAATGACGAAAAAGAAGTAACGAGGAACATTGACGCTACCAAATTAACAGCCCCACAATTATCCATATGGTGTCTTTTCGCAGCAGAAAACATAGTCATTGGTGGTGTCAAGGACCTCAGAGGAGCCTTGACCATCAGCGAGCCGCAGACCACATCGGGGAAGTACATGTATAGGTCCCATTGTCCACGTGCCCGATGACACCACTTGTTTCCTTTCGATGCCATTATGCAATGTACCCGCACTGCCCGACCCGGAAGAAGAGCTGTACTTATGAACCCTTTGGCCCACCAACTTTTGCCATTTCGGGACATTTCTTCACTCCACTTCTCTTTGCAACGTGTCGTCGATTACCGAAAATGGCTCCTCCAACATGTGACCAAAGTAGGTATATATACATGGAGTGGGCAGCATGTGACGAGTAATCCGCCATATTTTTAACGAACACCTTTTATATACGTGCCCTTCAGAGCAGACGTATCGTATTGCAAAAAGGCTACTACCCCACCTCCCTTATTTATACATGCATCGTGTATACATGAAAGATAAACTTTGGAATAGACAGGATTGGAACGTTGCCGGTCCCCTCCCGTCCATCATGGGATAGAAAGGGCGTTTACTCAGACGTATAACGTACATGTGATGTGTATGCACGTGAAAGCAAAAAGAAAAAAAGCACAGGGTATGTATTTTAACATGCAGAGTTGGTACTGTTATAGAGAGTAGCTTGTTAACGACAAATAACGTAATTTGGGTTTACAACTTAGCAAATTTGTCATACACATTGTTATGTTGGTGTATTTTTAAACGAAATAATTTGACTTACTTTTGACATTGTTATTAATGCAGAAAATGATGCAGCTAGTTCCGTTTGTGACCATTATTTAGCGATTTTTTAATGCCCCGCCTTGATATTAGTGTCAGTTCTGCCGATACGCGATGAATAGCGCGTGAAATTGAAAGTCAGAGCCAAATCATTTTTGCACCATTAGGGCGGAGCACCCGATGAATCTTAAAAATTTTTGATTAATGATGTTCTTTTGACACCACTTTCAACTTTTATATGTATATTACCGGTTGGGTCTTCTATCTAATTTTGAAAACCAAAGTTCCAAAAACTTGATCATTGTTGCATACTTCTCTGTTTGAGATATTAAAAACAAAAATTAATAATTCTTTCTTTCAATAAAACTTTGATTACAATCTTTGGTCATTTATTCTTTGTGAAAGTATGAAACCTCCCATAAAAATCCGAAATCAATATCACCTATCACTCCTCCTCCCCCCGACTCGACGCATATCCGCTTGTCTGATCTCGCAATTCATTGCTGCTGCCCTTGGTATCCACACCCCCGTCATACCATCCCTTTATACTTTTTTCCTTTCTCCCCTAAAGGACACCCTCACGCGTACACGCATAAACTCTGGCCTTGCCCCCACCCCCCCCGTAAACGACACATTCACATATATAGGGGTGTACGTGCAGTCTTGCCCCTCAAGCGCGTCAAGCCCGAACCCAAGCTCATTGGCCCCTTGGCGCACGCCTCACCCCATTGGCTAATTGGAAAGCGAGGGGGTCGCTTCGCTTCCGATTGGCCGAGCTTCCCAACTGAAGGGAGATAAAAAGCTGTGTGCGCACACTGGAAGGGAAGGCACGTACCCTACGCTGCTCCCATGTGAGCTCGGGGGTGAGTTTAGCAGACGTACATTTATCCACTCGCACACGTACGCGTGATTATTGTTGCAGTGTATCGAGAGTGGGTACTCGAAAGACTGGTTTTTACCTTGGGGAATGGGAATAGCTGAGGTGTGTGTGTGTGGGGGGGGGGTACATCGATGAACGGAGATGGAGGGATGGGAACGACAAAGAAGATTTTCTATTGTTTCGGTCTTTGCTTTTCAAGTGCGAGTTTGCAATGGCCGACAGTTGAAAATGATGGGATAGTTACGTTGACGAAAATCTAGATTAAAGAATAACCCCGTTGAGCGTTTGATCCTACATTACGTTGTCGCAAAACAAAATTTATTTCTTCGATGTGCTTTTAAACAAGTTGTTCTTGATATTTTTCAATTTATAACTATTGGTAATACAACTGCGTACGTTGCGAAGAACTAGGAGCTATAAGAAAATACCAAAGTCATCCAGGGAATTTTGAAGATCTCAAGTGATTTTTTACAATTTCGAACGTAGTCAAACGTCTCTTGTTTTCATAATGACTTCAAAGTCATTGTGGACTGGATCTTCTTGGACCAATAGGCAACATTTCAAGTTCTCGTTTCTGATAAATTTGAGTCAGTTTTAGGTGTTTTTAGTCGTTTACTTCAGTGAGTTGTTGTTGAAGTTATCTGAATGTCGGCGAAAGAGGCATCAAAAGCAGTTCAAGTGGTTGCAAAATACAAAGTCTCTTCTAACTCTGCATTAAATGTACGAGGATTTTAAAGTCATAGTGCAATTTTTCGACACGTAGAAGGCAAGTATTTTTAGTTTTTAGCCCTTCGGTAAGTGTAATCTTCATAAATTTACAACTTGTGTAGTTCTACATGCGACTTGCTTTCATCACGTGAATCGGTCTGGGTGGATTCAATAGATAAAATAAAATAAAAAAATAAAAAAAATCACTTCCCCATTGAAAATGAAAGGACTCTCCCGTCCATTCACACGAGAATTGGAGGAACGACCGGATGCAGAAGTTTTGGCCCGAGAGGCGTAAGCATCGCGTGCGTGCCAAACGGAGGAGGAAGTGTCGATTCACCAGAAAAAAAATTCACCATAGATAATTGCGGGTTTTCTGTATACACCATCCAACTGCTGTCCACTCACGCTGCATCTTTCAACAACTTACCAGCAATTTATTTCGAAGGAGGCAAACAAATTCGTCTTCCTTGGAATTAATTTACAAGTGAATAAAAAAAAAAAAAAAAAAAAAAAAAAAATTATTGTATTGATTGTTGTAATATGATTATCTGATGATTTGTTTTGTAAAACTATACACGAGTGCACAAACATGCCGAAATTTGCACAAAAAGAGATCAGAGGAGACAAAACGAGCCAGGGGCAGAGATACATATTATATACACAACAAGTTAAATCACGTACGTTGATGCCAGCACCTCGAGCGTCGAAAATACTGTTTTCTCACAAAACTGGCGACGACAATGGCACCCACTGCATATAGCCATGAGCTGGAAGAGATTGTCCGATATGACTCAATAGACAGAGGAGAGGGGGTGGGGGGGGGGGAAGAAAAAAATCAGAGGACGTCGAAGACGATGCCTTTTACGAGATGCGCGCGCGTAAGCGGATTAGTCTTGAAAGCGATACCCCGCCGATGCTGCGAGCTTCCGCGCTTTTCACTTCTTTGTCGACGCCGCACATCAAAGCCACTTCCCCTCCTTTGCTTTTTTTTTTGTCTTGTTCTTCGTCCTCTTCTTTTTGTACTTACCTCGCGGAGCCTATTTATCTGCCGATGTACATCTAGAGGGACGGATCGTCTTCCTCTTCGTTTACCTCCTCGCCTTCTTGTGCTCGAGTGTGATCAATTTTCTCTTTCGAATTTACAATCAATTTTCATGCTGTGGATTGCACTCTATACAACCCAGTCCCAGACTAGTGATTAAGAACATAAAATTCACGATTTTTTACATTGCTTACTTTTTATTGCCGCCTGTGTTATAATTGGTAGACAAAGTGCAGTCCACCTGTACATTTTTTTTTTAAATCCTGTAAATCGGATTAAATGAATCTCTAGCTCCCCAGCTCCTGTATATCAATCTTTGTTGGGTACCTTTATTTTGGACATAAATGTTACAATATTTGCCACTTTGCCCATCTAAAGACACTTACTTTTCGTTAATGTGATTCATAAACTTAGACGCCCATAAACTCTGTCTCTAGCTTAGTGTCAAAGTGTCTTTATTTCAAAGTCATTCTCTTATCGATGTTTGATGAGTTTCTCTCTCTAGGTCTTATTATTTTTTATTTTTTATACCTCAAATGTTTGTATTGACAATTCTCTTGTTATTACATTTGTGTTTTTGTCCCTGTACCTCTTGATCTTATTATCCCATCTCTTTGTCCTCTCAATTTCTATTACATACTCTGAATTTATATATTTTCAAATAATTTCTCTCACTCTTATTTTCCCTTCTATTTTTTGATGTCTTTCTATCGCTGCTTGTCTCTTGGTTAATGAACGTTTCTAAATTTTTTGTGTTTTTCTCTAAAATTTCAGTCTACGCCTCTATATTTTTATCCATACACACAACTATATCGTTACATCCATTTGTTTGACTCTGTCATTAAATTCATTTATGTAGACATTTATCTCTGAGCCTCTACATTGATACATAAAATACTCCTCTTTGTTCTTAATGATTCCATATAAAGCGTACGGTTCTTATGCTCTGAAAAGTTTCGTGGTCCAAGAATTTCAAAATGTTAATATGCACGATGCAATAAAAAAATGTTGTGGGTGCAGTAAGTACAAGGGTTATACCGAGACTCCGGATCATTTTTGATCACCCCTCCCCCCTCAGTATCTCGTAATCCTTTCAAGTCAGAGCCCTCGAGTAAAGGCACGTGCTCCTTATTTCCTTCTCTCTCTATCTGGCGTGGGATGTACTGTGCGCATTATATTCATATACATCAAAGATTACGCAGCGCGTGTCGAATCGCGTACCATCCCGTAACATGTTATACCCACGATATTCTCTCTCCCTCTCGTTGGTACTCGCTATTTCAAATTATGTATTCATATGAAACAAGAACTATTGCAACTATACCTTTTTAGCTGGAAAATTGTTTTATTTATTTATTTATTATTTTTTTTTTTCTCTTCAATTAAAAAGTGCGCAAAATTTCACCTAATCAATTGTAAATCGGACTGCTTTCGAAGCTTATGGAAGCACGCACCAAACGTGTCAGTCACTGCGGGTGGAAATGGATACGGAGGAACGGAGGATGATGGCTCGTGAGTGGAGTTGAGCGTTGAACTCGACGTGTAATACCCACTCACTCTCGGTCCCAAGAGATCACCTTGAGCCAATCCATTCATCAGGAACAACTAAACAAAAGTAGTAAGAATCACTTTGAAAAGAGTTAAAATTAATTTTTTTAATAACTCCAAATGAAGTTTAAAAAAATACCTGTTGCTGAATACTGCTACGTCTACTATTACTGCGAATGCCGGAATCTTTTCTGCTACATATCGAAGATGCGTGGCTCAATGTGTCTTGTCCAGGAAGCAGTGGACTCGAAGGCATTGGATTGGGATCCATTTCTACGGTGGCATCGGCAGAGATCTAGAGCGAAAAAAAAAGCAATGATGCTGAAAATTATCTTCAAGATACATTAAAGCGAAAGGCTCAACTGACTCTCACATGCAAGCTACTGTTGTCTAAATTTGAGACAGCAGGGGTGAGGTCTTTCTTGGCCTCGACAATCGTGGC